GTATTACAAAAGGTATTACATATGTGTCCTTTTTTTCCCCCCGCCCTTGACAATCCCCTGGCCTCCCCTACCCCCCAGTGTCTTATGTCCATTGGTTATGCTTATATGCATGCATACAAGTCCTTCGGTTAATCTTTATTCAACCTGTATTTTTGCTTGTGAGTCACCGACACCCACAAACTGCCTTTGGAACGCCACACTTCATCAGAACAACAACTGGTGTTCTGAGTCGTCGCCAGGGGGCGCTGCCTGCTAAGCAATTGTTCCCTCTCAGCCGGAGTCTTGGAGTTGTGCAATTGTGCGGTTGCCTGAACATATTGTTAAAAATGGATGAGAGCCCTAGCTGGCTTAGCTCAGTGGATAGAGCGTTGGCCAGTGGACTCAAGGGTCCCGGATTCGATTCCGGTCAAGGGCACAAGCCCGGTTTGCGGGCTTGATCCCCAGTAGGAGGCGTATAGGAGGCAGCCGATCAATGATTCTCTCTTATCATTGATGTTTCTATCTCCCTCTCCCTTCCTGTCTGAAATCAATAAAAATATATATTTTTAAAAATAAAAATAAAAATGGATGGGAACTGGAAAAATAAAATTGCAGGTGGTGAAAGAAGTATAGGTCTCAAACATAGAACCAACATAAACAAAAGCTCTATGAGGTCCTCAAAAATGTATTAAGCATGTCAAAATGAAATAAAAACTATTTGGCCTTAGTGGAGGCTTTATGACAAACAAAAAGTGTTTAAGAAAGACAAAAATAAAATTTAGGACATGTCTGATTCCAGGAAATAGATCAAATGTTGATTCTAAGGGCGTTATTATTGGGGATTTTATAACATTCATTGACTTCACTTTGAGCAGCTCTGCCTCGTCTTCCCCATAGGCCACCACCACACAGCCCAGGCCTAGCAGTCTCTTAAGCCACTGCAATACACATACTGCACCTCAAGAAAGTGAGTGCATTCATTTGTGATGGAATCTAGGAGGATCCCATTCAAAATTACATAATGTATCTAATTTTTGTAAATATGCATAAAGAAGGGTGTCTACCCAATATTAAATTATTTTTATAGTAAGCGGGGCTCATATAAGATCCCAGTGAGGAGATGCCTGGGTTCTGGTCCATAACATGAGAAATAACGAACCACATCAGAAACACAGACAGTGCCCATTATACACATTCTCACCGTGCACCAGGGCTGGTCCCACACCTCCCAGTGAGAACTCAGTGACCAGCATTACAGTTGTTGGAAAGAAAGCCTAGTTTGGAAGCAGGTCAACGCTTTGAAGCCAAGTGTCAAAGCCAGACACCCTGGTTCAAATTCCAGGCCTGTCACTCACTAGTCATGTTACTTGGCTCAGTTACTTCATGCAAGGAAATACTGACTGGGGACAGACCTTGACATAGTCACGTGAAGCACGCAAGGACTTAATCCAATCCAATTATCCATGGAATCCCTGTGCCCGCATAACACAAATACAAAATACTGCAGCCAGATTTAACACCAATTATCCCCAGTGTCATTTGGAGTGTATAGGCAAGGATGGCTTTTTCTAAATAGTAATTGTTAAGGCTAAAGAATATACCCAAGGTAATGACAATGCCTAGCTTAGACCACCCCTCCCCATCCCTGCAACTACACAAGAGAACCCTCAACAGCTGCTTTAAAGATATAGATCTATTGATAACACAGAAGAGTTATGGTGTCATATGAAAAGAAAAAGCAAATTTACAATGGCATCTAGTGGGAGCTTTTCAGAATCATAGACATGTATAAAGAGTATTTGAAAATACACAAGTGCCCACATAACACAAATACAAAATACCGCAGCCATATTTAACGCCAATTATCCCCAGTGTCATTTGGAGTGTATAGGCAAAGATGGCTTTTTCTAAATAGTAATTGTTAAGGCTAAAGAATATACCGAAGGTAATGGCAATGCCCTAGCTTAGACCACCCCTCCCAATCCCTGCAAATAAACAAGAGAACCCTCAACAGCTGCTTTAAAGATGTAGATCTACTGATAACACAGAAGAGTTACTTATGGTGTCATATGAAAAAAAAAAGCAAATTTACAATGGCATCTAGTGGGAGCTTTACAAAATCATAGACATGTATAAAGAGTATTTGAAAATACACAGATAGAGATATCTGGGGGGTATCCCATCTCCCCTTTCCCGTGCAGCCTTCCCTGAGGACCCAGGAACCCTCCTGCCCCTGAGCTTTGAAACTCTCTTCTTGATTCCATGTGTGATTTGTATATCCTAGAGTTTCAGGGAGGCACCTCGAGGGCCTCAGCAGTAAGTGATGGGCGGGGTCTCAGAAAATAGGACCATGATTCCACCCAACACTGCTTCAAACACACAGGCACCCCACTTCCCTAATGCTGGTATTGAGCTTCGGCCTCAGATTGAATACATGTGTGGACACCATTGGCCATAACAGTCATTGACCTGCTACTTGCTTTTACATTTCTTATGTAGCATTATGGATGATCTTTTCACCAAAGCACGTGTTATTTCCCCAAATAGTGGCTTCAAAGACTTGACAGGTCCTTAGTCCCACTTCCTTGGCTTTCCCACAATTTCCAGAACAGCTTCATAGATTCTTGCTAAATGATTGAAGAGTTCTTTAACTGGGACATCTATCCTCAGTGGAGTTTACCAGGCTCTAACCAACATTCCACACAGTTCCATCAAAGTCTAGGACTCAACGGTCTACAATCTCCCACTAGCGACTCACAGGACTCCTGTTCTACATTATCTCCCACCACAAAGGCACCTCCTTTTCAGAAGTATTTTCTAAAGCTTTCAACAACCATTCTTCAAGTGGCATTAGGTAGCAATTAATTATCAAATACAGTCCTATGCTCACATGGGCCTGGGCTAGACTTGAACATTAGATGTGGAAGAATAAAGAGTTGTGTTGTCCAATGTGGGTATTTCAATTTAAATAATTAAAAAATTAAATTTAAAATTCAGTCCTTCAGTTGTCCTAACCCCAGCTGAAGTGCTCAGTAGCCACGTGTGGCTCGTGGCTACCCTACTGGACAGTGCAGTGCAGCTACAAACATTCCCATCATCACAGCACGTCCTGCTGGAGAACATTGCTATACAGGCCACCGAGTTTATCATTCATAAAGTTTCCTGAAGAACACTAGCCGGGAAGGATGCTATGATCCTGGCTAAATTAATCTGGAAAATTCTGCATCCTAAACCCCCTGCCTTACCTATCAGAATGTTAATACTACAAATCTCCAAGACTCAGACTCCAGCATCAGAGAAATCCGAGTTTGAAGTCTACAATCTCCCACTAGCGACTCCCAGGACTCCTGTTCTACATCATCTCCCACCACAAAGGCACCTCCTTTTCAGAAGTATTTTCTAAAGCTTTCAACAACCGTTCTTCAAGTGACATTAGGTAGCAATTAATTATCAAATACAGTCCTATGCTCACATGGGCCTGGGCTAGACTTGAACATTAGATGTGGAAGAATAAAGAGTTGTGTTGTCCAATGTGGGTATTTCAATTTAAATAATTAAAAAATTAAATTTAAAATTCAGTCCTTCAGTTGTCCTAACCCCAGCTGAAGTGCTCAGTAGCCACGTGTGGCTCGTGGCTACCCTACTGGACAGTGCAGTGCAGCTACAAACATTCCCATCATCACAGCACGTCCTGCTGGAGAACATTGCTATACAGGCCACCGAGTTTATCATTCATAAAGTTTTCTGAGAACACTAACTGGGAAGGATGCTATGATTCTGGCTAAATTAACCTGGAAAATTCTGCATCCTAAACCCCCTTCCTTACCTATCAGAATGTTAATATTACAAATTTCCAGGACTCAGACTCCAGCATCAGAGAAATCCGAGTTTGAACCCTAGTTTTGCCACTTATTAGTGGTGGGACCTTGAGAAAGTTACTTAATTTCAGGTTTTTTTCATTTGATAAATGGAAACAGAACACCTGGGTATTGTCATGAGAACAAAATGAGATTAACGGGTGTAAAATTTAGCAAAATGCTTTGCAATACTAAAGTCTCAACAAATGTAAGCTATCGTAATCATTATTCTTTAAGTACAGAGAAGTCCTATCCTACTTCGTTTAGTGCAGCATTTCCCAAATTTACTGCCACTAAACTTTTTTAGAACATGTGGGAGACAGTATAACAGTCCCCCTCCCCTACCCTCTACAAGAGGTCTCTGCCCTAATCCCGGAACCTGTGAATATTTGCTTACGGGCAAAGGGGACCTTGCAGACATGATTGAGATAAGGATTGTGAGATGGGAGGTTATCCTGTGGCCCAATGTCGTCACAAGGGTCCTTTATAAGAGAGACACTAGGGTCAGAGTGGGAGAAGGAGAAGTGAGGAGGGAAGCAGAGGAGGGGAGGGGAAGGTGCTGTGCTGCTGGCTTTGCCTGTGGAGGAAGGGGCCATGAGTCAGGAGTGGGCGCAGCCTCCAAACGCTGGGAAAGGCAGGGAAGTGGGTTCTCCCTGAGAGCCTCCAGGAGTGCAGCTGCCGACACCTTGATCTTAGGACTGTTCTTCCCCGGACTGTAAGACGATCTGAGTTGTTTTAAGCTGCTAACTCCGTGGTTCTTATTACAGCAGCAGTAGAGACCAACACAGGACAGCTGAACCCAACTCCCAATGGGAGCCGACCTGGGGAAGCGCAGAAACCCAGGGTCTAGATCAGCCGGGCAGCTGGGCAGCTTTGTAACTCCCAGCAAGTCTACGCCTCTGGCTGCTTGGGTTTCTTCTACAAAATGGTGGCATTCTCACTCCTCTGCCTAATTTTAACATGTTTAACGAGGGTAAAAATATAGACATGCTTTGTGAGAATAACTCAAACTTGCACATTTCAACTTCTCAACCGCTACTACTGAGCGAAGGGGTAAAACAATGCATAAGGGAGTTTTAGAAGAAACAATTTAGAATTTCCTCAACTTTCAACAAGGATTTGTAATGAGGGACTGAAAACTGTTAAATTTTTTTGTTTTAATGCACTCCGCAGAAAAGCCAATCAACAAACGTTTCGTGCACAGGTGGAAATATTTGTGGCCTTCCCTCCTTTACAACCCTACATCTTTTCTTTCCAAGAGTCAGAGTATGATATCTTGTTTGGGGGGGATGATTGAAAACAATTTTTTTTTTCCTCCCAAGAATAAACATGAAGGGCAAACCTACAGACGGCAAGGGCTGCGTCGCCCATTTTAAAAAGGAAGGCAAAGCCTGGGACTCAGGGAGGGCCATGTACTCTCCTTTCCTAACAGGCCACCAAGACATCAGGCTCGCGAGGGACTCTCATCACTGAGCCTGCTGCCTGCCTGCCCAGACTCTTCCAGGCCTGGGAGGTTGGAAACACGTGTGAAGGTGCCGCGCCACCTGCTGGATTTGGCAGGCATAGCACAGGAGCAGCTCCGAAGAGAGGATTACGTCACTAGCCACTCAGAACGGGCAACAATGTGAAAAGATTAAATACCCAAACCACTGAATTAGACACTTTAAATGGGAAAATTGTATGATGGTATGTGAATTATATCTCAATAAAGATATTTTTTAAAGGAATGGAAAACAGTATTCCACAAGGTGATCGTGGCAATGGAATTTTGATTAAAAAAACAACCTAGATTTTTCTCTAAATGATGGCACATGTCACTCAGTAAGGACCCAAAGCAAACGGTAGCCCACAAAAACAAGACAGCGCAGCCAGGGATGGGCTTTTATGTCCAAAGCATGATTTTAACCATTCGGGGCCCATATAAAAAAGGGGGGCGGGATGTAAGAAGGGAATGCATCACAGTATCGACCACAGCTGTGTTTTGATAGAACAGTGATTTCTTTTTTTCAAGAAAGTTGCAAATTCTACATAAGCGGGCACCACGCAGCTACCTACTGGTGTCCTTACCATCCTCTGGCTTTCCAAGGAGCCTTCACACCTATGTCCGGATTGTATCCTCCACCAAGTCAAAACACACGTTACTACAAAGGCAAAAACCCGGCAGGAAAGAGGTGCAAAACCGCGTGAAGAACAAAAAAGCACCACGCTGGCGGCCGAGACTCGCGGAGCCCCGCTGGTGCCCTGCTGCCAAGGAACCAGGGACCCAGGACACGCCGCTCACACCGTCAGCATCTGCCACGCCTGGAAAACGAGGTTCCAGCGGACAATCCGAACTTCCCCTTCCAGAGCTCCCAGCCTCACCCTTTAGGGACGGGTGCAGATCTGAGCCCCGCCTGTGGCATCTGTAAAACACAGCATGGCCATGGGGTCTGGAAACACACTCAACCACATAGCAGACGGCCCCTGATGTCAAATACAGGACAAAATCGCCATCCGTGTTTCCTGACTTGCTGGGCACTTTGTAACAAACAGCACAATCCATCCTCCTCCATCATCTTCCCTCCAAGTGGCCTTAAAAGCTACCGACCCAACAGCAGAAAAGGGGTGGGGACCCGAGGGGTGCTGTCTTGCAGGAGGGGCCTTGCAGACCCACCGCACACTTACCTTAGCGATGGACTGTCTCGCACCTGCAGCCCGAAACCACACCCCAAGGCCCCGGACGCCGAATAGCAGGGAGACGCCACTCAGGAAGGCGCCGCAGCAAGATATTCCACCAACACAAGGTAGGGCCGTCCGATGAAGAGCACAGAGAGGCAGCCTCGGCGAAGCCAGGCCGTCAGAGAAGGAAACCGCAACCAACTGCAACCGTGTGGCGCGGCCTTTTGTCACCTTGGGATGGGAGCGAGGGAGGCAACGCGACTGCACACTGAGGGCGCACTTAACTGCGCTGCCGGGGCGGACCCGGGTGCGTGCCCAACACGCCGATGGCCCGCAGCTGGTCCACGAGGCCCGGCCGACCGCTCCGCCCCTCTCCCAGTTCCACCTGCAAGGGTCAGAGGTCAACTCCAGAGACTGGGGTAAGCCATGCTGAGGTCTCTGATGAGCAGCAGCTGTTTTCCGGCGCGTTGAATACAGCAGTGGTTCTCAACCTTGGCTGCACATTAGAATCTCCTGGGAATCTTGTTAAAATCCTGATTTCTGGGCCTCATCCTCCGGAAATTCTGTTTCTTTGTTACTAATGTTGTGGCCCCACCCCATAACAAAGAAACAGAATTTCCGGAGGATGGGGCCCAGAAATCAGGATTTTAAAAAGATTCCCAGGTGATTCTGATGTGCAGTCACGGTTGAGAACCACTGGAATACAGGGATCCTGAAAGGGCTGCGGTGGAGAGGAGCAGGTGGGCGCATGGCGAGGTCTCAGCTCCCATTTCATCCTCCAAGGAAGCCTTTGCCTGAGGCTTCCCCACCAGCTCTCGGTTTGCTCCAGGGGCCCCTCTGCCAGGCACCCGCAGCCAGGACTCCGGGAGCACTGTCCTTGAACCTTCTCGGTTGGTCATCACTCCAACGAGATTGTAGGTCCGCAAGGGAATGGACGCTGTGCCACGCTGGGTTCCCAGGGCCGGCGCCGTGCGTGGGGCTCGCAGAGGAGGGAGGGGCTGCAGCTTTGTGTTCCGTGCAAAAGGTCTCGACATATGAGCACTGAACTGAAATACAGCCATTTCACCGGCAGTGCTTACAGTCAGTAGCCCACACCTTCCTCAGCGGGCAGGATGGCAGCCGGCTGACCGACGCCAACTCTGGGTGCGACCCACAGGGCCTCTCCCAACCCTGTCACCTACTGGCTGTGTGACCTTCAGAGCCGGGGCTAGTTGTTTCACCTCTCTGCCTCCACGTCCTCGTCTTTAGAAGGGGTGGTAACAGCACCCTCTCCAGTTGCCTGAAAATTCAATGCGTGGAACACTTGGCAGGAGGTGGGCACTTAGAACTCACTGGGTATAGGAGTGTTATTACAGGCACACCTCTTTTATTATGCTCCACAGATGTTACTTTTTAAAATGCTTTTATTGATGTAAGAGAAAGAGGGAGAGGCAGAGAAACATCGATGTGAGAGGGAAACACCGATCGGCTGCCTGCTGGGGGTTAAGCCCACAGCCCAGGCACAAGCCCTGACTGGGAATCGAACTGAGCCACACAGACCAGGGCAGGTGTTGCATGTTTTACAAATTGAAATCATGACCATCCACCAGCAAAAAAGACGAAGGCTTGCTTTACTGCAATCCTTCATTGCAGTGGCCTGGACCCGAGCCCCATCTATCTCTGAGGTTTGCCTGTATCATTCACCTTTGCCTGGAACTGAGCTATAGGTTTTAAGTTTTGCCCAGGCCTGGTAAGGGAATCACATTCAACACTGCTTTTATCAGAAGCCACTTAAAAACTTGGCCTCCCATTTGCTTGGTCTGGGTTCTTTTGAAGATTAAGCTGGCAGAAGTCCCTTGCAACTTAAATTTATTTTTTAAATATCTGACCTGTGGTTCCGATTTCCCCTTTTTATTCATACTTTTGAGTTTGCAGGGGTACCCCTTGGTATCCCCACTATGAGTGGTGTCCCCATCAGGAACAGCAGCCTGGGACCCAGCAGAGGCGTGTGTGTGTGTGTGTGTGTGTGTGTAGGGGAGCTGGGGGGCGGGGCAGGGGGGGCGGCCCTATTGCTAGGGCACTGAAACCAGGCACCAGAGGCAGCAAATTTTGAGTCTCAGCATTCTGACTCCTTCCTGCCTGCCTAGTACTGCCCTTTGGCTTGGTCCTTCTAAGCCACAATCTCTCCCTGGTTCCATTTATTTTTTTCAATCACAGTCTCAGAACGCCCCTCTGCTGAAGGCTGCTCAGCATGCTAAGAGCAAAGATCTGCTCTAACCCGCACCAGATCCGCTGGGCCAAGCTCTCCGGGTGATTCTGGCGCGCGCTTTCGTGCTTTGGTTTCAAGGACCTGGTAGTTCGGATGTCGTGTTTACTGAATAACAGGCCGCAGTCAGGATTTTAGAAACAGCTGGTTGAAAATAATTGCCTTGGCTGGCTCTAGTGACCCCCCAGGAACCCACCCCACTTGCATGTATGTTCTCCTCATTTATCATTTATGGGTATATGGGGTTTTCTCCACGGAGCGACACTTTGATATTAGACTTGCCAATGAGCAGCCACCACGCGCCCTGCTGCCTGCCATTCAGCCCAGTCAACGTACATTCCATGCAGCTTTGCTAACCTTCTCCCACCTTCTGCTCTCAGAAAACAAGCAAGGGGAGGGTCCAGAGGTGTCGTTGGACAGTGCCGACGGCGTATTTATTTCCTACGCAGAAGAGCCAAGGCAAAAAGACAGAGAAGCTAACTTCTGCAAGGAGGCGCTGGATGGGAAAGGCGATGCCTGCAGCGGCCTTTGCAGACTCCAACTCCAGCACCATGAACGTGTCCTTTGCTCACCTCCACTTTGCCGGAGGGTACCTGCCCTCTGACTCCAAGGACTGGAGGACCATCGTCCCGGCTCTCCTGGTGGCCGTCTGCCTGGTGGGCCTCGTGGGGAACCTGTGTGTGCTTGGCATCCTCCTTCACAGAGCTTGCAAGGGAAAGCCGTCCCTGATCCACTCCCTGATCCTGAACCTCAGCCTGGCGGATCTCTCTCTCCTGCTGTTTTCCGCGCCTGTCCGAGCTACCGCGTACGCCAGAGGTGTTTGGGACCTGGGCTGGTTTGTCTGCAAATCCTCTGACTGGTTCACCCACACGTGCATGGCAGCCAAGAGCCTGACAATCGTCGCCATGGCCAAAGTCTGCTTCCTGTATGCAAGGGACCCAGCCAAGCAAGTCAGTATCCACAGCTGCACCATCTGGTCGGTGCTGGCGGCCATCTGGGCGGTGGCTGGCCTGCTGCCCCTGCCAGAATGCTTCTTCAGCACCACCAGGCTGCACGCAGGCGTGGAGATGTGCCTCCTGGATGTGCCCGCGGTGGCCGAAGTGTTCATGTCCATCTTTGGTAAGCTCTACCCTCTCCTGGTATTTTGCCTGCCGTTACTCTTTGCCGGCTTTTATTTCTGGAGAGCTTATGGGCAATGTCAGAGACGAGGAACTAAGACCCGGCATCTTAGGAACCAGATGCGCTCAAAGCGGCTGACGGTGATGTTGCTCAGCATGGCCATCACCTCGGCTGTCCTGTGGCTCCCGGAATGGGCAGCCTGGCTGTGGATGTGGCACCTGAAGGCTGGCGGCCCAGCCCCACCCCAGGGGTTTACAGCCCTGTCTCAAGTCCTGATGTTTTCCATCTCCTCAGCAAATCCTCTCATCTTTCTAGCGATGTCAGGAGAGTTCAAGGAAAGCGTGAAAGGCTTATGGAAATGGATGACCAAAAAGCAACCAGCTGCCGCAGAGTCTCAGGAACCACCAGCTGGGGACTCGGAGGCCCTTCCTGACAACATTCCCTCTCCAGGGTCCCCAGTATCCACACCAGAGAAAGAGGAGACCGGCTCTCCTGCCTCCAGGAGAGAAAGAAGCCAGAAGGCAGAGATGCCCATCCTCCCCGACGTGGAGCAGTTCTGGCACGAGAGGGACACAAACCCTTGTGAGCAAGACAATGACCCTATCCCCTGGGAGCATGAAGATCGAGAGACAGGAGACTGTGGTAAATGATTACGTCTCAAAGCAAAACTAATTTGCGATTCTTGTATGTACTTGTACTGCTGCTGATCCACATGGCTGACTTTACCATATAAAACATAAAATGATTACATTTAGGAATTACAAATATTGCTTCAGTCTGCATTTTCAAAATGTGCCATTTGGTAAGTAGGACGCCACATTAGGAGCAGTAATTATGTCTCAGAATTAACACCTGGCTGCCCAAAGGATTGTGTTGTGTGGTGTTTCTACCACAGGGACCAGAGAGACCAGCTCTGTGGTCCTGGTTCACAGGGGCTGAGTCACTGGGTTCTCTTGGGGACCAGCTCTGTGCCGGCTGGAGTGCAGCTGGTCTAACGATGAAGCCTTTCCTTTAGTTTCCTCCTGAGCCTGCTGGCCCTCACTTCCCGTCACATAACCAAAGCTCAAAATCCACATCCACGGAATGAGATTTGTTCTTTAACATGTTAATGAATACATTTCAAGGAGTTACCTTCATTTGCTTAAAATAAGTACATTTACTTGATGAAAACGACTGAAGTTGCAGAATAAGGAACATCACCTTATCCCCGATTCTGGGCTAATTTCAAATCATAGCCAAGTTTAAGTATATTCAAACTTCACCTTACACTAAAACCTGCTTTTGTTGATCTTTGTAATGCCACCTGAGTCCTCAGTTTCTAAGTCTAAGGATTTTAGCAGCTTAGTTATGACATTCTGTATTCTGATATGGAGAAAGAACTTTAAAAAACTACCCCTTTCTCTTCCCAATTATCGATTCTTCCCAAATACAGGAGACAGTTACTCTTCTACAAGTTGAAATCAATCTGTTCCTCCCAATATCTCCTTTCTCTCAAGATAAAACTATAAGTTATGTCTAGTGATATAGTTAATTACTGAAGGCAGTAATCATATCATAAAAGGGGGATAGAGATGAACTTCCTTGTTAAATGGCATTAAATGTACCCATAACATTGAACTTGAACCCTGCTCAACATTTAAAATGCCTCAGAGTGCCGGGCCAGTGTTGCTCAGTGGTTGAGCATTGACCTATGAACCAGGAGGGCATATACCAGGGTTGCAGGCTTGATCCCCAGTGGAGGGCGTGCAGGAGGCAGATCAATGATTCTCTCTCATCACTGATATTTCTATCTCTCTCTCCCTCTCCCTTCTTCTCTGAAATCAATAAAAAAATATATATTTAAATGCCTGTTTTTAAGTTATAAAGATGATCAAGAGTAACAAGAAAAAACACACACAAGGGCAATGCAGAAAAGCAGTAAAATTAAACTTTGTGTTCCCAAACATCCAGTATAACTTGACTGTTCATTTCACAGCAAGTTAAAGCACACCCCAAAAGGCATGATTATGATACATTTCTTCCCCTATGAAATATAATAAGGACATTTATCCATGATTGTTGATTACTCTGTAATGGACTCGGGTATTTTTACTGAAGGATCCCCTCAGGGGGGCGGAAACTGTCTTTAGGACAAGCAATGAAGAATTTGAAATACAAAAAATACACTGTGGATGGAATTTTTATTTTTTGAAAAATGTTGTCTGGATTTTTTTTGGTTTTTGTTTGTACAAATGGTCATGGTTTATTTTAACACAGAAGATAGGGCTGTTTTCTTTTTACTTGGTTCATTACAAATTTTATTCTAAGGCTCACATGATCAAATTACAACTTAACCTAAGTATCCAAAATATTGTTTTTGTGATCAGATAGTTATACACAGAGATTACCTTTAAGATTGTCTGTGATGAACTATTTGAAGATTTTTATGTACATTATATATAGTAAATGTAGGATGTAAGATTCCAGTGTTGAATATTTTAACATACAAAAATAAAAGGCATTGTTTCACTTCAGATAGTTTGGAGAATTACAGTCTTTGTCTTGAATGCTCCTTTCAAAAATCATCATTGGGTTTTAGGGGGAGGTCAGACCTTAACACGGGTCTCTGGGTAAATTGAATCATTAATTTTTAAGGAACTTGCTGATAAGCAGCAAATCCAGTTGCAGATATTGAAACTGTAATTACAACAACCCATTCATTAAGTACCGAACACAGAGTCCTGACTTGATTCCTTAAAGAAATCTGCATAGCTCTAACCGGGTTGGCTCAGTGGATAGAGCGTCGGCCTGCGGACTGGGGGGGTCCCACGTTCGATTCTGGTCAAGGGTATGTACCTTGGTTGTGGGCACATCCCCAGTAGGGGGTGTGTAGGAGGCAGCTGATCGATGTTTCTCTCCCATAAAAAAATATGTTTATTTAAAAAAAAATCTGTATAGAAGAGTCTGACTTGTGACTTGGCTCAGCACTTAATCCCAAATACTTTACCACAGAAGTAGGAAGTGAGATATCATCAGACCCTTTTCTTCACACTCCCTACTGTGAGAAACAGAAGAATGCTCTGTGGAAGTGGAAATGACAAAACACTGCACAAGTTCCACCTTTGCAGGACAGTCACATTTCTATCCTAGTTGTGTTCCTTTTGTCAAACACTTCCCTTTCACTCCTCACAGAACTTAAAAATCACTCAATAAATTTATAAAAATGAACTTCAAAAAAAGAGAAGGGGAAAAAGAAGAAAAAAGTCCTGCTAATTAGCAATTTTACAGGTTAAGACCTTAGTGAAATAATCCCAGGCCACTACATGCCGAATTCATGCAAGTTTTGTGGCTACGTATTAAGCAGCCCAGATGTGAATGTGTCTCTGTGTGCTGTGCAGTGCACGGAACGTATAAATGCAGACCTGTTCGTATGCCCTCTTTTTAGGTTTTGCTACAATCACAGTATGTGTAAGATTAACAGGAAAATAATTATCCTATTGACGTATTTTTCTAGACATTTTATTTATGTGGTACACCGACACTAGGAACCTTGAAGGAATGGAACAGAGGATCTTTTTAAACTGGGCGGTCAAGCTACGCAGAGCAATTGGGAGGCATCCAAGGCGAAGCTCCATGCATGGTGTGCATGATACACTGAAAGGACGCCAAAAGCATTAACTACCAAATCCTTTCATATAAAAGGCAAAAACAAGAACACAAAAAGCAGCTTCTTGCTATAAAGCAGTAAGATATTGCTAAGAGACTGAGCACCAAAATGGTTCTTTACAAATCCCATCTCTTTTATACTGTAAATAATTTATTATATTCAAGCCTTTCAAAACTATGTGATATCCCAAGACTTAAAGTCAACCTTCTTTTGTACCAAATTACCTTTGCTGCTGCTTTTAAGAGCAGGTTTTAAAAAAGTTTCTATAAATTATGTAACGTAATCATATACAATCCACATATAGAAAAAGGGTTGGTTTATTGTAGTTCAAATACATAAACTGAACATTCAAACATCTTAAAATTAAACTTTAGAAACAAAAGTTTAACATTCAAACAGGAGTACAGTTTACAGGGAACACCCAAAAAGAATCTGTTGTCTAATCCAGAATATTGATAAAGATCACTTAATGGTGAATGTGTTTAACCAGCAGTTCTATTCTGGCCAACATATTAGTTATGACCGTGGTTCCATACCTGAGAAGAACTTCCTAAATAAATCTTCTCTTAGGCTAAACAAGACTTGGCCTATAATTCAGAGGGGATAATCAAAGCTCATAAGTGAACAAATAAAACTAAAGTGTTCTTTAGAGACAAAGGTAAAAGTATGTCCATTATAATAATCTTAACCTCTGGAAGATAAGAATTCCATTTTCAGTGTTTTTTCTTTTACCCGCTTTGAAAAACAAAATCAAAACAAACCCCAACCTAGATTTTTTGGGAGTCTGTGGTATTTGTATCTTGCAAGTTCAAACCACAAATGCTCTTATGTCTTGCATGTATAACACTGCTAGAAAGTACGTCACCAAAAGTCACTGACTTCCACACCTCATAAAAGGATGATTTTTAGCTTCAAGATTTTAGATTTACTAGAGACAGCCTATATTTGAGTATGTATGTCAGTCATGCCACACAAAGAAAAGCATAAATATTTCCAAAGTGTTCTCTGTTCAGCAACTGTTCACGAATGCTTCTCCTTCTGTTCGTCAGATGGTTTTGCAATAGTTTGACTAATGCACATACATGTAAAAAACCTGAAAATTGGCTCATGCAAGCATTTTGAAGTAATAGATACCCCATGGAAGAGTATGCAGGGTTATTTTGTTGATCGTCGGGTGGGCTCCGACGCTGTGGGAGGGGGCGGAGGGCCCCGGCGGTCCAGGTCATCCACATACGCCACGATCAGTTTCCGCCTCTCCTCTGGCACACAGTCTAGTACTAGATACCGTTTGTCGTTCTGCAAAATTTTTTCTACGTCTTTCAGGTGCTGATCAGATTCCTGGATTAGCTTTTTGGATCTGAAATAAGAAAAGAAGTCCAGAATTACTGACTGCTGTTCACAGGCCTTTCAGATATGAGCTGGAAATGTCCATCTAGTTCCTAATTGTGTTTCCACTTTTTAAATTTTTTTTAAGAAAAATTTCACTGCAGTGGTCACCTTTGTAAGTTGCCTCAGCAAAGACTCCAGGGAGTGAAAGGGCCTCAGAAGCTGAATTACCCTCCCACCCCTACTGGTGGTCCCTCCAGACCAGGGCTGAGGGTGGGTGGGTGAATCTTGCCCGTGCTGTACCTGTTCTGTGGATGAACAGAGGACTTCAGTCTGCGGGGCTGCCAATCCCAGCATCTTTCACAAGCTTTCACTTTCACATCTTTCACTAAATTAACTACAAAAATGTAGAAAGAAGTCTTACTTCACATCTAATTTAAAAGCCCAAACTGATGCAAAACATTAAGGATCCTGACCAAAAAATCCAATGACAAAGTACCTAAAAACCACACCCTCAGCACTACCTAGCCTCCCGTGCACACACCCTTCATTAAATGCTTCAAATTTTTCTTATAGGAAAAGCTGGAGCATGAACCAACAACGGTTTCCTGCACAGGCTACTAACCAATGTCAACTTGTTCCCCTGCTGAGAAATCGCTGGGGTGGGGACGACTGGGCATGCTACAGTGAAATCTTGTTTTAAAGCTCCGAGTTTATCATTTAAAATCTTTATTTAAAACTATCCAGCAAACTGCTTTCCTCTGAGGAAAAAAAATGTTTTTACTGAGCTTGGATGATTTCAAACTTCCGAGTTGGTTCAGTGAAGCAACACTGAGTAGTCTTCAGAGGAGGTGAAGACAACTGACAGTGAAGGATTATTTAAAGTTGGGGCACTCCTAAGAAAGCAGTGAAGCAAAAACAGAAGTCTGTTTAAAAAACTGGATGGGTGGGTAACACAAAATAAGAATTGGCATCTGGGCCCTTTCTTAAAAAAAAAAAAAAAAGGTAGAGATGGATTGGCTGTCTCTGGTCTTTGATAAAAGTTGGCTTCTTCTTATCCTTAGAAGCTAATAATGTCAACATGTGTGTGAATGCAAAGTATGCCTTGGCCATTCGAGTAAGAACTAGCAAAGACAGGAACTGCTGACATGAAACATTCCATGGCACACACCTGTATGTTATAAATTTGGTCTCTTTCAAAAGCGTCCTGAAGTCGGCTTTGGCAGTGATGTATTTGTCTCTGATGTATTCTTCGAACTCTCTTTGTTTTTTCTGAAAAAAGAAAGTAAGATTAGAAAGAAAATAAAAAGTCCACTAATTCCCAAATTAATGTCATTTATAAAACTAGAAATGTGTGAGTCACACCGTCAACTAGAAAATTCTAAAGAAAAAGGCAGTAAGGTACATTTATTTGTGTTCGTGTAACATTCATTAAAATAGAAAATCTGCAATGTACATTTTCAAGACAAAAAGAAAGCAAGATCGCAGAACCATATAATACATTAGTGACAGGTAAGACTTGAGGGCTTGCTATCTGCTACACTGTGCTGAGGGTTTATGAGGCTATTCCTTTTAATCTTCACAAGAACCTCAAGTGGTAGACAGACACTTTTAAGAAATAAAGAAATGTGTATTTCCTGTAGACTGTATTTATATCTTCCAGTAAAAAACACTAATGTGGTATAATTTATGGATACACCAACCATAACACTCAGAACTTTAGTTATACTGAGCATTTAGCTTTTCTAGTAATTGTTATGATAGGTATAAACTCTTTGGGGTTAAAAAAAAAAGACTTTACCATCAATTCTAAATAATCAGAAAAGTTAGAAACTAAACTGGATCTCTCAGCTATCAGTCTACCACTCTAACCCAGCCCCGTATATTTTGTTATCTAAACATCCCGAACACAACTTAACAGGGTTTGAAAAGGAAGAATATTAGATCTGTGGGTTTCTGGACTCTATACTAAAGAAACCAACTAGGAAAGGAGAATGATTGGTGGGAAGAAAAAAACAATAGAAGTCCAAGGTATAAAATGGACTGCAGTAAGCCACACTTTTCTTTTTTTTTTTTTATGTTTATTTAGTGGAACTCCGTGGTGGTTTTTATTGATTTTTTTATAAGAGAGAGGAAGGAAGAGGGAAAGAGAGATAGAAACATCAATCAGCTGCCTCCTGCATGCCCACAGGGGATTGAGCCCACGATCTGTGCATGTGCCCTGACCAGGAATCGAACTGGTGGCCTCTTGGTTCCTGGGTAGATGCTCAACCGCTGAGCTACATCAGGTGGGCTTATTGATTTTTTTTTAAACACTTTTGACATAGTTCACTATTTCAGTCCCCAACTGAGTTTGTTCCTAAACAGGAGTTAGAGCACCAGAGCAGGGTTCAGCTCACAAACTTCCCACATCCGCAATTCCTCCATCCGAGTTTCAAAAGCACGTAAGAACTAGAGATCATGCTGTAATGGACTGAAGGATTCCATCAGGGGGGGAATAAAAAAAACCTCCAAAAAACCACCCAAAACCCTATGGCTTTGTTAAATCTCTAAAATCCCCAAACACAGCTTTAACTCCAAGGATTCTTTTTAAAGTTTCCATTGTGCTGTCTTATTAATATATACATGCAAGAAAAAAATGTGAACTTAAAATTCAAATTTCTCATACACTTAAAAAGCTCAGACAAAATCCTCTTACCCTGTCACTGGAGGAGAACTTAATGCACCGAGGGTCTTCTTTGATGATTTTTTTTACTTCTTTCCATGTGGATGTTAAGGTAATCTTTGAAAAGACAAGGGAATAAAAACATAAATACGCTCACTTATTACTGAGGGGTCAAACTGCAGCCTGTATGGCACATAGCACTCCTCACGGCCCTGCGAGCTCCCACGCATAACTGGATTAGTCAGGGACAGGGAAGCAGCTTTCATGCTACAAGAGTTATTTTCATGGACACATTTCCAAAGTGGCCTAAGGCCTGCAACCCTATACCTCCAGGCGCAATACCCTAACTTCTGAAGAAACCATTATCTAGAGAGCAGGCCAACAGGAGCAAAACCTGGACAGGAGAGTGTACACACTGCCAAACAAGGGGGCTATGGCGCCAAATTGAAAATGGGGCAAAAGAAGGAATTTATTAAATCAATTATCAGGAGGGACCAATGATCACACACAGCCAAGGACATTCTGAACAGCCATAGGAGCAGATATGAACTTGAAAACTGCATGAATTCCAGTAATGGATCTAAAGACCATGACACTAAAAATCATGTCCATGTTTTACTTTGGGATTAACAAAGATCCGTGCAGATTAGAATAGAAAAATTAACTCTTACTGCGGAAGTTTCATCCAGAAGTTGCCTAAAGTGCTCCCTCTTCTTTTTGGTAAGTGCTTCAATGTGTTCATTAAAAAGCTTCTCTTTCTCCTCTCTCTCCAACAAGGATCCAGACTCCCAGCGGTGATCTTTCCGGAGGGTCCTGCGAGTGTCTGACCAGGACACATCTGAAGAACGAACCTGAAACAGAGATCTGTATCTAACACCAGACCCACCTGTTCACACTTCAAGAAAGGCTCCTTTGTTTAGGAATCATATATTTAAAAAACAGAAGCTGATGGTGACATCACCTTAGTGAAGAAGTCACTGAAAATCTGCTTCTTTAGGCCAGAAAACTTACCTCTCAGACCTCACTTAAGCTGTCAAATGTTGGTTTAGAGGTGGAGAAGGAAGAAGACAAGATATCTCCCACCAACCATGGTCTGTAATCACTTTAATAGTATTTAGGTTTTCTATTTAACATCTTACCAACTTTGACACTTCCAAGAATAAGCAAGAATTAACTTGGTTAAGAAGACTAGAAAACAGACCACCAGACAGGGCTAGCTGGTTCACCAACCAGCAGAAAGATAGGCTTCAATGCTAGGAATGGCATTAGCAGTTAAGTCACACTGCTGCCAATTGCTAAGAAATTTGGAGGCTGAAAAGACAGAAAGGTAAGAAAAAAAAAATACAAAAAACATTTATTTAACCAACATTTATCAAGCATCTAAATACGTGTCAGGTAAACACTATGCTTGGCACTGGGAATACATAATAAATAAACCCCTTCCTTTAATGGGCTCACTCTTTTTAGGGAAGACAGGCATGGAAGCCAACAACTGCAGTAACATGTAGGGAGTGCTGCAGAGGTCTACGCTGAGCACAGGGTAATGAAAGCAGCAGTAAGGTCAGATGTGCCCAGAGGGGCTGGGATCAGCCTCAGAGGAGGTATTTTTGAGTGTGCTCTTGAAGAATGAGGAGGTTTACCACCACGGTGGGAAGTTTGAAAGCACTCTAGGTGGAAGGACTGGAATGAGCAATGGCAGGATTTGGTTAAGTTCAGCAAGGCTAGAGTCTAATTAGGGGGCAAGAAAGGAAACCAAAGCAGGTAAGGTAATATGGGTGGTGGGGGAGAGGCAGTCAAGGAATGAACAGTCTTTTATATTATGCTAAGGAGACTGAACTTGAAATGTAGGCAACTGCTAAAAGGAAGGAAGACCTTGATCTTCTGCAAGCACAGGGAAGAGTCACAAAACCAGATCTGCCTTTTACAAAGATTTCTGTTGTTGTAATAAAGATGAATTGGGGGAAACAGAAAAAGGGAGAGAAATGAGGAAATGACTGACTGTCCAGAGAAGAGAAGGAAATTAAAAACTGATCAGCAGAAGCAAGGGAAGAAATCTGAAGACTCGACAGGAGTGCTCTGAAGAGGCCGTACTGACAGAACAGCAGGAAAGATGGCAACAAAGAAGGGGAAAAAAACAATAGAACTGCAGAGCGGTCTGGGGTATTCTCTGTAGGGAACTCATACTCTACTTATCTTAACAACCCTGGGTAATGCAGAAGTATTTTCAAGAAAGTTCCAGGGTATCTCCTGGAGTCAGCACCCCCCAAGTCCTACTTCTCATACCACCTATAGAGACAATAACTGGTCATCATAATGATGACTCTAAATCATCAACAAAAAGGGTAAATTAGCCTGGTGATGTGGGCTCAATGGTTGAGCGTCAACCTATGAATTGGGAGGTCACAGTTTGATTCCACATCAGGGCACATGCCTGGGTTTCGAGCTCGATCCCCAGAGGGGGGCGTGTAGGGGCAGCTGATCAATGATTCTCTCTCATCATTGATGTTTCTCTCTCTCTCCCCCTCTCTCTTCCTCTCTGAAATAAATAAACATATTGAAAAAATAATAAAAATAAAGGGTAAAGTATGTCTTGGCCAGGGTGGCTCAATTGGTTGGAGCCTTGTCCCAAGCAGTGGAAGTTCCTGGGTTCGATTCTCAGTCAGGGCACATACTCAAGTTGTGGGTTCCATCCCTGGTCTGGGTATGTACACGAGGCAACCGATCGATGTCTATCTCTTTTTCTCTTTCTCCCTCCTCCTCTAAAACTTAAAAAAAAAATTTTTTTTTAGGGGTAAATCATGTTCAGCACACTTGTTTCTTACTATGGCCTATTAAGTGTGACTTTAAGATGACTTATCAAGACCAATAAAAATAAAGCTTTGACACTAAAAGATTAGGAATTTTCATATAAATAAATGATCTCACTTCTGAAAATGTTAAATAACTAGGGTTTGCCTGTTCCAACAGGGCTAATACCAAGTACTCAATTTTAAAACAGTTTATAAATAACTTACCAAATTGTATCCCTCACAGTCAACTTAAAGAATATTAAAATGCTCACTATGAGGTAATGTAATGGATTTCTAACATCCAGTACTTTACAGAGAAAATAGTGAAAGAGCAATAAATACCATGTCAGACAGAAGTGCCTTGAAGTTCTGGATAGCTTCTTCCCGTTTGTGCTGCTCTCTCTCTCGATCTATTTCTTTCGTTTGTTCGGACCGAGCCTTCTGAACCTCTCTCTCTCGTTCCCTAAGGCTAGCTTCAATGCGGGCTTGCCTTTCCAGCTCCTTTTCTTTTTCTGAGTCTAAATTCTGTAAAAGTGAAATTACATTATCCTTTTACCAACTGTATCAAAAGGTTTCCACAAAGTAAGTTTTTCAAATACAAAATTTTAAACCTACCAAGAATACCATATACCTAAACACTGTACCCCATTTCCAAATCAACTACTAGAGATTCTTGTATTAAGAATATCAACAAGAAAAATGCCAAACCCCAAACAGCAGCGAATACCATTATAATGCAATTAAGGATTTTATTATTCCATGGTTAAAGGACAAGTGGCCCAATGGTTACCTTGGCTATTTTTTCAATATACTGTTTGAAAAGGTCTTCTCTCATTGATGAACTATCCACTGCTTTGTAACGTGGATCACTTTCTACTTTGTCTTTTACTTTGCTCCATCGAGACTGACTGTCCAGGTGATGATTAGATAATAATTCAAAGAAATCCGATCTAATCTACATTTCAAAACAAGATAAAGGAAAAACAATGAGATATTCCTCATATCTAAATGCTTACAACTAAAAAAAAGTTCATTTACCTTAAAAATAAGAATAACTTTTTAAATGCACTTACTCAGGATACAATAAGTTTTAGTAAAGGAGAATATCAGAATTACTCTTTCATGAGAAATATAAAAATCAACACATATATACACTGTCATTTCAAATATACCAAAATCAAGATAAATTATGTTCTCTAATAAAATTATTCAAATATAGAGAAAAACTTTTATGTTGTTTATAATATTTGATCTCAGAACTGCTATATTTCATAAGGAATGTGAATTTGAATTTACTTTTAGCAAAGAATCAGCTTATAAACTATAGTAAAATACTTCAACATAAAGCTGGTAAAAATGCTTTATTTTAAAAAGTAGATGAATAAAATTTTTGTTTGTTAAAACTAATAGGGGGATTTAGAAACTGTTGAGCACAAATAGCAAGTCTTATTTATTACAAACCTGAAACTATCAAATATCTAAAAACAAAAAAATAAGTCCAACTTTTATGTTTTTTAAAGAAGGGCAAGGTATTTTTAACCTTATATACAAAAAAATTATAGAAATGTTGGTCATAATTAATTAATCATTACTAAAAAAAAAAAACTGCATTCAGATTTCCTGTACTTCTTAGCCATTAAACATATATGCCTTCACCGTTACATAGCTCAGAGTATGTATCAACGAAATAACATACTTAACAACTGAAGTACCAAGTTAGTAACATTATATCAAAGGTATTATAGTATCAAAATATGCAATACTTATCTCAAACTGTATTTATATATATATAAATAGGGAAAGAAAGAGATAAATGAGGCATTTATTTTATGATCCTTTGAGGATCTGTTTTAAAACTAGGCTCATCTAAATTATTTTGTGCTCCTCCCAGGAAAGATATCAAGTTAGCCAAAGTCCTTTCAGCAGAGGATTCTGACCATGTCAAGAACCTCTTCTCCCCATAGAGAATAAGCATTCCCTCCTGACCAAGGGAATGATAAATTAGGAATGGAATCAGAATTTCAAATGTGTGGGCACAAAATAAATGAATCATTCTTTCTGCCTATTCCAACCCTCTCATTTCCTCCTATAACCTCATTTCTCCTATTAAAGGATTAAAAGGGAGGTTTATGTCCTTTCTGGAAAACACTTGTAAGATTATAAGAAACCGTGTCTACATTAGAGAATTTTTAAAAAGACAAGAACTAATCAGCTGTGGATTTCAGCAGTGGCTTTGTTTGGATCATAAACCCAGCATTTGCAGACAGTGATAAAGAAACCACTTGATGTAGTAATATGACATAAATTTACTGTTCATCTTGTCTACTTTGTATCTGAGATGATAAACACCAAATTCCTAGATGCACGTCATAACTAGAAGGCGAAATTTATAAAATTCATGCTATATAAAGACATGCAAGCTGTAGCAAACACGAATCTTTCTAAGCCATAGGAATTTACATGAACTTAAAATCATTTTCAAACAAAGCCTATAAAGTCAAAATCATCTAAGTTTTTTAAATGTGTGATATATAGCCAAAGTAAACTTTAAATAAAACTTTATTTCCAAATATGAAAGTGCCTTCCCATCTAAGCTGTTAAATTAATAGGGAAAATTGTCTCTTTAGCCTTACGATGTACTGTAATAAAAATATTTAAATTGTTCAGCAGGAAATCTGAAACAGGGAAGAGAGAAAATGCCAATTTCCTAAAAAGACTAACTCCATTATGTATAACTTCAAATGTGTTGTTCCAAAAAGTAAATTATTTGAACCATAATTTTATAAAAATTTGCTACAGTAATAAATTATAATAAACAAAAAATGTGAGGGTAGCTACTGTGGTAAACAAAACAGTCTAATAAAAATGAAGAGTTTGGGGCCTTTTTTTAATAAAATGGAAAATTACCAGTGAAGGCTACATGAAAATAACTGTAACCTTTAGCTTGAAAACGCCTACTGAAGGAAAACACAGTATTTCACCAAAAGTCAATGTCCTTCACAGGCTTTTGGCTCAGCAAGTAGTTGCCTTTATATTTTTACCATGCAGCTACTGATTCGATTAGAGAATCCAAAGAACAAAGAACAACTCCAACATATCAGCATGATACTGGTACTGATCTTACTCTTCAATTACACAGTTAAAATGTGATTTTAAAAAAACAGTATAAACAATATACTTCATAAGAATCTACAGTGAAAGTCATGAAGAATGTGATAAAACTTCATTAGCCAACCACTTCTCAGAATGTGAATTTAATACTACTATATTTAAACCCTTACTTTAAAGATTTCTGCTTTCATGGCTTAGTGAGTAATTGATTATGCATTCTTTAAACTGGCTGAGAAAGTTTTACTTTATTTTAAAATTTAGTAATGGTACAGAACCAAGCCCATAATTTAAAGAATTAAAATTTTACAACCAGAAGAAAATAAAGCTGACTATATTAGGGTTATTGAGATGTAATATCTATTTAATTTCTTATTTTAATTGACACATTCTGGGCACAACTGTCATCACTTTATAAGGAAAAAGACTAAAAAAATGTAAAGTACCGGAACTGCGGGAGGCTAAAGTCACCACACAGAGAGATACCAATTCTTTCCTCACTAGAGAATCCCATAATACTTTGCGTATCAGTGACTGACAGCTGTCAGACTGAATTGATTGACAGGTTGCACAGCACAAAACTGTAAAGTCTATCCACTTGTTATAAAACAGAAAACATAAAATAGTTACATAAAAAAGTGTTTAGGGTAAAACAAAACAGTTACAAATGCAGAGAGAAAAACATTCAATTTGTATAAAAGCAATCATATAAATCATACAATATCAATCATCTATTTACTTGATTTCCCTTAATCAAATAAATTATAACAAAGTCAAAATTAGCAAACAATTCATTAACGTTTCTAACACAACACATAAAATGTTTAAGTAGAATTCAACTTTGCACATTTCCTCAGCAAAGCATAATCGCTTTACAAACAAACATTGTTAATAGTGAAATAATTCTGGAAAAACATACTTTTGAAGCCAAATAAATCAGGAAATTTCAGATGATTTCTGGCAAAAGATATTTCATCTAATACTATTGCTATTTTCAATGACAAAGACTTCTTCCCAACAAGAGTGGTATTACTTCCCTAACAACATTTAATAGAATTTGTAATATCTTAACTTCCTGGAACAAGAGGCAATTCTAAAGGTCAAGAATGATTAGGCGCCAGAGGTTTTTCCTCCATGCACAAAGCATACAGGGACACTAAGGGTAGTGGCTGCTTGTTTTGATGGCTCACACACCACTGGTGCCATCTCCCTACCCGTCGGCCTCCCCAGTGGTGAGCTCCTCTCCACTCCCGACACTGCTATCAAATGACATTTGAAATTCATTAATCTTTTATAGCTGACCTTTAATTCTGATAAGCAATAATTTATATGTAAGACATGTTTACTAAAAGATTAGAAAGTCACTAAAATGCTTTTAGAGAGCAAAAAAGATAAAGAAGGCTCTGAAACTTAAATGTTACCACCTATAAAGAATCTTGGAATCTTAGCAGGCACTTAGCTGGTCAGTGAACAGACAAGCCTAACAACCAGTTCTGGGTTTACCCGGCATCTCAATATTAATAAAATTTAAAGCAACCCTTTGTAGTTTAGTGAAGCTACTAAAATTATGGAAAGTGATAGAATATACACATATCAACAATTATAAAAGTCAATTTAAAAGGCTAAACAGTAAATGTGGGTCCTATTACTTATGCTCATGAATGAAACTAGAAACACACCACCAGCTTAGTTCCTCTCTATTCGCACTCCTATCAATCACACCACTGGAACGAAAACCATCTTACCTTCTCACCTCTGGTCTTCGAATCTTCTTTCTCTTTCTTTCTTGCAGCTGCCACAAATTCATTAAACAAGGCTTCTCGATCTTTCATCTTTTCAATTGCTTTGAATCTTGAATCTTTAGCATGCTTGGCTGCAAATTCACTAAAAGTTGCTCTGTAACAAAATAGCAAGTGTGCTAACTTTGACAGAGCTATTTCTGCTTGTAGAAAGGTATAGCAGAAGATACCATTTTTCCAGCAAGAAAGTGTGCCAACGAGACACTGAGTCTCAATATCTGCTTAAACACTGAGCTACAGAATGGAATGAAAGGGCTAAAGCAGGGGTCCTCAAACTATGGCCCGCGGGCCACATGTAGCCCGCCGAAAACATTTATCCGGCCCGCCGGGTGTTTTTGCCGCCACTGTGTGCATAGGAATTTGTTCATAGTTTTTTTTTAAACTATAGTCCGGCCCTCCAACGGTCTGAGGGACAGTGAACTGTTTAAAAAGTTTGAGGACCCCTGGGCTAAAGGGTGAAAATGTCGTTAGAGATGTTTACTATCAGAATGGTGGTAGAAAGATCCACACATCATAGAGCAAAGAATGTGTGGGCTTCAAGAGACTTAACCTCAGTGGTTAGAGTGTCACCCCTCACACTGAAGGGTCAGGCTCAATTCCCAGTCAAGGGCATGTACGGCAGGCAACCATTCGATGTGTCTCTCTCATCTCTCTCTCTCTCTCTCTCTCTCTCTCTCTCCCCCTCCTCCTTCCCCCATTCCTTCCAGTCTTAAAAAAAAAAAGATTCACAAGGGAGACAAAGTTGGAAGGTTAAGAAAAATATTTTTCAGTTTCTGAGATCCACACTAACAAAGCATAAAATCAAACGTAAAATTTGTGATGAGCCAATAATTGAACTGCCTGCTAAAACAAGAATTCATACTCTTCAGAGAAAAATAACACACTCGAGCCTCTACCCATTATTCACAATTTCCAATATTCAACTAAAAATCACTAAACAGCCCTCCTGGTTTGGCTCAGTTGATTAGAGCATTGTCCTGTACACCAAAAGGTTACTGGTTTGATTCCCAGTTGGGGCGTATACGGTAGGCAACAGATCAATGTTTCTCTTCCCCCTTCTCTGTCCCCGCCCCTACTCCTCTTCCCCTCTCTCTAAACTCAATAAACATATCCTCAAGTGAGGATATTAAATAAATAAATAAAAATCACTAAACATACATGTTTCTTTGTATGTGATCCACAGGAAAAAAAACTTAAAAGCCAATAGAAGCCAAACCCAAGAGAGAGAGACAAACTATACTGAAAGAATTAAAAGTAGGTTCAAAGAGTTGAAAACATGGTCAATGAACAAATAGGGAATTTGAGCAGAGAAATGGAAAATATAAAAAAGAAACTGACAGCAAAAGTTAACTTGATGGGCTTAACATGCGAGTAGAGATAATAGTCAATAACTAGAAGTTAAAGCAGTAACAACGATCTCATCAGAAGAGGAGAGTAGAGAAACAATACTGGAGGGAGGGGGAGAACAGTCTCAGAAACATGTGATAATGACAAACACTTTTATATGTGTAATTAGAATCCTAAAAGACAAAAAGTGACTCGGGGCAGAAAAAATACTGACCAAGACTTCCCAAATTTAATGAAAACCAAAAATGGATTGATCTGCCCTAACCGGTTTGGCTCAGTGGATAGAGCGTCGGCCTGCGGACTCAAGGGTCCCAGGTTCGATTCCGGTCAAGGGCATGTACCTTGGTTTCGGGCACATCCCCAGTAGGGGGTGTGCAGGAGGCAGCTGATCGATGTTTCTCTCTCTCATCGATGTTTCTAACTTTCTATCTCTCTCCCTTCCTCTCTGTAAAAAAAATCAATAAAATATATATTTTTTTAAAAAAATGGATTGATCCAAAAAGCTAAGCAAACACCAAGCAGGCTAAATACAAAGATGAAGTGAATGAGCGCTAATGAAAGTCGGTATTAAAAAATAAGTTTCTCCATGATATAAAGTATTTTCAAAGCTTTCATCTATTTGGATATATTTTAGTATTTGAAGCTTTTACCTTATATATGAATTTGCATTTATAATAAACATTCCCATATTTAGCATGTTTTTAGAGGGGGAAAAATAAAGCAAATTAAACAAAGATTACAGGCTTTAATTATAAAGAAAAAACTGGCTGGTTAACTTCAGAATCTAAAACGTCAACTGAAGATTTACCACTCAGAGCTAACATTTGCTATTTTTTTTTAAATATATTTTTATTGATTTTTTACAGAGAGGAAGGGAGAGAGATATAGAGTTAGAAACATCGATGAGAGAGAAACATCGATCAGCTGCCTCCTGCACATCTCCTACTGAGGATGTGCCCACAACCCAGGTACATGCCCTTGACCAGAATCGAACCTGGGACCTTTCAGTCCGCAGGCCGACGCTCTATCCACTGAGCCAAACTGGTTTCAGCACATTTGCTATTTTTAAGCTTTGCTAACCAAAGTTATCGATTCTGATAATCTTTTATATGCAACTGATATTACAATATATAATGTCATTAATTCAACATTTCTAACAAAAGGATATATCGTAAACCTGGTTTGAACAATGGATACATACCATAATGAAATTCTAAGGTAAAATAAAAGTGTATCCCAGAAAAGGCATAGCATGTAGTCCATTAGATATATTTTTCTCTTCATGATAAATCAAGCACCTTACTTTATAATTTTAGAAAAAGCAATACTATGATTAAAGAAAAAACCTTTTAAAAAATGTAAAATTGCCGAAACCAGTTTGGCTCAGTGGATAGAGCGTCGGTCGGCCTGCGGACTGAAAGGTCCCAGGTTCGATTCCGGTCAAGGGCATGTACCTTGGTTGCGGGCACATCCCCACTGGGGGGCGTGCAGGAGGCAAAAACTCAATTATTTTACACTTATTTATATTGCTTATAATAAGTAAAATAATTAACATGTTTTACCAGAACAGACTAAAATGAAGTTTTAGCATTAAGTTCCCATGGAAATGTTTTTATTTGACTCATCTCTTAACTCTAAAAAGCACTACTTTGTAACAGACAATTGAAAAGGTAGAAAAACTGCTGTTGATTTGGATAAAGGAAAAGCAGTTAGCCGGTGACAGCCATTTCGGAGGCAGTGATATATGAATAAGAGTTTTGGGTTTTTGTGGGTTTTTTGAGGAGGAGAGGGGTAGATAGTGGTTGGTGGTAAGGGATTGGGAACATTACAATGATCAGGAGTTGACCTGAAATCTCTATTTATAAAGAAAAAAGACATTGAAGAGATAGGCACTAAAGTTAAGTAATTCTCCCCATTTTTCCCTTGGAACAAACACCAGTGCTTTTTATCTACAGACTCTACTAAAGAATTCGGTGATAGTAGTCTTTTCCAAATCAAAGAGAAATTTAGGTCAGTGGACAGTATTCCTCATTTTCTGCTACTTAATCAAAAGGGGTCCTAATCTTTGTCCTAGCATTAAATGTAATGATATAGCAATACAGCACAATGCCCCAACTGCTAAAACTTCTAGTTATGTGCTTGATGGTTTTATTTTCTGAAAGTAACTTGCATAGTTCCGATCACTAACAATTCTATCTGCTCCAAAAGAACATCAGGAGGGTACTGAGATAAAGCAAGACTTAATTCGTCAAACCTACAAAAGGAAAATACGTTTGGAGTCTCAATTATTCCCAGATCCATAAAGGGTTTTAATAGTTATGTTTTGCTGAATCATTTGAAAATAAGCTATAGACACTATGGGACTCCATCTATAAATATTTCAGAATGCATCTCTTGAGTAAATCCTTTTGCTCCATAAACCACAATACTCAAGAAAATTACTAATTCTCTATCCTGTATTAACAGTCCATGTTCTAATTTCCTCAATTGCCTCCAAAAATGTTATTTACAACCCAGTCTCAACTACTGCGAGCCATGAACTCACCCTGTGGAGCCCCACTGGAGAGTCTGAAGCTCTACCACCCCTGAAGAGTACTGCATTCTTCACAACCACAACTCCTCTACTGGCTTTATTTTCTGACATTTGTATTAATGCCACAGGAGTGTTCTCTTCATATTTCAAATATAAAATTGTAATCCCAAGTGTACTTTCTCAAACAACATAACTCCACTGACAAAAATAACTTTAAACAGATGAACTTTTATAAAAAGTGCCACTTAACTGAGAGACTCCCTAAATCTACCCTACAGTTTTAGAAATGCTCCATGTTCTGAGGTGTTCACACCACCTACTACCACAACTAAGGCATAAGTAAGAAAGTAATTGTCCCTGCCTGGGCTCTTTGGTGTAACACTGGAATCTAGTTGAAATCCCACATTCACTTGGGCAAGTTACCCAACTTGCTTATGTCTTACTTTCCTTATCTGTAAAATAGGTATGATATGGGTACCTAAATCATATTGGCTGTTTTAAATATTGAATGAGATAATATGTGTGTGTTGTGTGTATACTTACATACACACACAAGCACTTTAGGTGTGTATGTATGTGTGTGTGTGTTTATGTATGCATGTATGTATGTATGAGTATATATAAAAAATAGAGGAATATGCAAATTGTCCGGGATGCCGTCACATTAACAGTAACGACTGAACAGCAGGCTGCGTGGGGCGACAAAGCTGGCAGGGGGGGCAGTTAGGGACGACCAGGCTGGCAGAGGGGGGCAGTTGGGGGTGACCAGGCCA